GTCCGGGGCAGTTGACTAGTAGCCCTCATAAGAGCCCTGCGCCGGGGTGTAAGCTCGAGCCTGGGCTTGTAGAGCTTGCTGCTGCTGATGCTGCTGCATGATAATGTCATTGAACCACGGGTGCTTGAGTGCCTCGTTTGCACTGACGCGCAACTCTGGGCGCAGCTGCAGCATGCGTTGAAGGAGGTCGATACCAGTAGGGTCAATTTGTGGAAGGATCTGGCGAAGGTCTTGCGTAGCGTATAGACTAAATGTTGGCTTGTACTCAGGAAGCTGAGTGATTCCGGTCCAAGTTCGTTCCGTCGGCGTTCCCATGATGCGGAAGATCCTTGTGAGTTGATCTTCGTTCGTGGTGCCAGGGAATAGTGGTCGACCAGTGTACATCTCCGCCATGATGCAACCTGCTGACCATATGTCTATACTTGTGTTGTAGGTGCGACTGCCGAGGAGGACATCGGGTGCCCTGTACCAGAGGGTGACAACCTCGTTCGAAAAGGTGTTCACTGGAATGCCGAAGGCTCGAGCCAAGCCAAAATCACCAAGCTTCAGCTGGCCCTTGCTGTTGATGAGCAAGTTCTGTGGCTTGAGATCGCGATGCAGAACCCTATTTTGATGGCAGAAGTCGATGCCTCGAAGCAGCTGATACATGAAGGATTTAATCTGTGCTGGTTTTAGAGCACCCCTGTCGCCATTCGTGTCCATGTACTTCTTCAGATCGCCGTCTAAGAACTCAAAAACGAGCATGAGCTTGTTCTCGGTGTGAATAACATCGTGGAGGGCGACAATGTTCTCGTGTTTGAGCTCCTTCATAAGGGATATTTCTCGGATGGCGGTAGACGGAGTGCCTTCCTCGGAGTCAAGGTGAATCTCTTTTAGCGCAACCAGCTCGCCGGTTTGTCTGTTACGACCTTTGAAGACCTGTGTGCAAACGATGCGGTATCAGCACCCACCCAACAACGGTTGAAAAGACCTCTTACTGTCGCATAAGTTCCCTCGCCGAGCTTCTCGAGCTGTTGGAAAGAGCTTGGATGCCGCTTTCCGTCCATTCTGACTGACCAAAACACTGCTCGATACTCAATTTGCAGGGTGGTGGGGTGAAAGGCTTCTTGGGGATGCTTTGACTGCGGGGAAATCGATAATCCTGATGGTTGACTATGTCCGTCTGTCGTGAAATTCTTGCTACACCACAAGGCAGCAGTGGGAAAGATGGGATTAGAGATGTTGTTTCGAAGCCAGATGTGCAGTGATGGAAGCAAGGTCAAGCAAGAGAGGCTGCCTTGGCCTCGGACGCTGCTGGTGGGGAGATTCTTCCGCTAGGTAGGTAGGTTAGACAACCCAGTCACATGGCGGTGGCATATTAGTGGAGCTCACATCCCTTATGAGAATCGGCAGCCTCATTGGCGGGTGCTTCCAATCACCTCAGTCTATCGGTTCCTGGAAGCCTACTTGATTACGTGGTACCTACCTACCTACTACTTACAAACCTAAGTACCTAGATAGGTACCTTAGGTACTACCACTGAAGGCACTTTACCCTATTGTTCCTTGTCTGTAATATCACCAAAATAGATAGTTGCGCGATCACCCGTTCTTCTAAGAAGGGTCGGACCTGAATCTCTTCAAAAGCACAAGCAGTGCGGGTGGAACAGCGAGGCTTTAATCCAAGCGTTTACTGCATGGGTTGGCTTGTGGCATGGCCGGCGAACCTGTGCATTGAGGCCATGTGCCGCGAGCCACCATCTAAGCGGCGTGGTTCTGGCAGTGCTGTCAAGCTGTATAAGGCATCGTTGTTTTGGGCACTGTTGGACACATGGTCTGCAGGATCAGGCGCCTTGAAGTGCTGACTTATCTGGATCAAGCGAAGTATTGCGACAGCACGAAATCGAATACTGTCCCGCTTGCTCTGGATCAAGGAGAGCTACATGTAGCCATAGAGTGGAGTACTTGAACCCCTCATCCGCACCAGCCTAGCTCGTGATCACATCCCGGTACGTAGGTAGATCAGGATGATCCAAGCGGGGGTGTTTGGGCTTATCACTGTCCCTTTATCGCCATCGACCACCCCGCCGGTAGTTCCCTCCTTGCACGAAGTTGTTTCTTGATCTGTTCTACTCACTGTCTTTGCTGGAATAAAATCCAAAGACTAAGAGTATTGATCAAAGGCTCCTCGACTATCTAATCGAAGAATAATTTATGCTCCATTCGTGGCAACATGCGACCCCTACCTGGTTGCGACACGATCTCCAAGAATACGGCCGGCGGTGATGACACCACTCATTCGTTCGTCACCGTCAACGCTTCCTCGCCCATGAGCTTTGTATTCACCGACGATATTGCGATCGATAACCGGCCCTCGCCCGAGTTTCCACCAGCTATACCGTCGTGTCCTGGCAGATCGCGGAAGGAATCAGGCATCTACCATCCTAGTAACGGTTCATCTTCATGTCGAGCTAGCAACCAGAGCAAGGCGACGGCTTCGTCGGCGAATACACCACCTCCATTTCACAGCCCTCCTACGCCTCAAACACCCCCGGAAGGGTATTCGAGAGCAATGAATCATGCGCCCGGACAGTCGATACCGGTGTTATCTGGGCCGACCTCAGTCATTAGCAGCCAATCTTCCCGTCGAGGATCCCTGTCCTATTCACTCTCTGAAGGTCATGGAAGCTATGCTTTGAGTGCTTTTGAAGATTCAATTACGGATCATCCATCCCGGCCCCCTGAGTCTATGGACCATATCGAGTCGCAACTTATCATGCCCACACTTGCTGTGCCGACGCGGAGGCCTTTTACAGAACAGGGCAAGGCCCTGGGACGACTTAAGCTGCTCGTGGCCGGGGACACAGGTACTTTCAATTCATTTTCACTCAATCGCGATCACTGTCATGTACTGATGTCTCTTTTCGCCAGGTATTGGTAAAAGTTCCCTAATCAGGGCCATTATCCAAAGCTGTGAACACATCACCCATGTCGACCCGCCCGCGGAATGCACCTCGAGACACAGAATGGGCTACTCAATCGACAGTGTCGACAGACATCAGACAGCCGACCGATCTCGCCTTTCCATATCAGAAACATTCGCTAGCACAAAACCATACCCGGCCTGGTGGAACCTTGTGGACGATGTTAGCCTTTCTCCTCGTCGGCAAAGCCTGGGCGACTCCGTTTTGGACCGAAATATTTGTTTCGTTGACACTACAGGCTATAACACAACTAATGATGTAAGTCTCGAGATACCTCTGCTGCTGGCGTGATTGGGGGTTATTGACGTGTATTGAGAAGTCCATTGTCGCTGAAACTTCGCACTATATCGACCAGCATCTACGAAGGAGCATGATGAGCGGGCTTGACGAGTCGAACGTGCTGTCCACTATTAGCAATGGGGGAGGTGTCCTAGTTGACGCTGTGATCTTCATGATACCGGGCTGCGGTAAGCTACACTACTTTGGCACATCGGGGGGAACTCCAGTTGGCTGACAAGCAACAGGGCTTTCATCACGCGATTTAGACTTAATTCGACATCTAGAGCCAAAAACCAGCATAATACCTGTTCTAGCGCAGGCAGATACGATGACTTCTGCACAGATCGACTGTAGCAAGGAGCTCATCCTCAGGCAACTAGCAAAAGCAAATCTCGCACCCTTCATCTTCCACGATTCGACACCTACGGTTGCGGAGGTGCCTATCGTTTTTGCTGTTTCGAGCCACTCCAGCACCGACGAAGAAAACATGGATGCAAGTATTCTTATGAATCCTGACTACATACCCCCTCTAGCTCCATCGGATCTCACAGCACTTCTCGAGCATATTTTCAGCATAGAAGGCAGTTCGCGGCTGCGTCATGCAACGGCGAGAAAGCTGGTGAGATGGCGCAAGAGGCAAGATGGAGCTAGCTGTTCCGAAAGGGATTCGACAATTTGCGGGGTCGCAACACGACGTATAGACAGCCAAGTAGTCTCGGCTGCCCTTCACAGGTCGCCGAGTGGTCGCAATTGGGGACAATGGACCCAGGTTCGCCTAGTTGACTGGGCCTCCGACCTGCAAAGAAGCCTGGTCCGGGAGCGTGTGGCATGCGACCGGGCGCTTTACGAACAGAGGACAAAGTGGCTAAAGAGCCAGAGAGCAGAGGAGATCGACGCACGCACGGCTCTGATACTAACCTCACGCGATATTGGTTCCGCGGCCAAAAAGTGTCGCCGAAGTCTGAGGTCAGGAGAGTCGAATGTCAGGCCACAAGATCCATTAGGCCTTGTCCAGCTGGGGCTGCAGATGAGGTGGACGGGCTGGTTTGCCTTGGAACTTGCGGGCAGTGCTTCTGTGATGGGTTGTGTAGCTTTTTGGATGCTCTCTTCGTGAAACACGTAGATGCAGCTCTCGGTTGGCTTGAATGATGAGTATGTAAGGTGTTCGGAGCATATTTTGTTGGATTTGGTCATTCTTCATCATACCTACGGTTTAGATCATTGAAATCCCTCTCTGACCGGGGCATGTCTCCTTTCCTCACTTGGATCGGATCGGTATTGCCTCAGTGGATACATGTTTGGTGCCTTGCATGCAGCCGCGCGGGTGCTCACGTCTGTCGATGACATCCGAGGCCGATAGTGATCCGTTATTAAGCGCAGACCCCAGTGGGTGGGTCCATACCTCGTGCTCTTGCACTACAGCCGTCACCATAGACGAGCTTCCTGCAGTTCACGTAGTTACCAGCCCTCCCGAAGATTTGTCGACAATCAACATCCAGGCGGCCTGCAGTACGCCCTGGCATTCAGTAGCGAACCATTTGCGTTCCGGAAATCACCGCCACTGCGACGCATCGATACATCCTGGCTATCGGTAGAGACCGGGCTTGTTGGCGCTGGGGTCGTCACGAACCTGCTCCTGCCGTTGCCTAAGGTACCCGTTGACGCCCTGCGACCAGGGCCTTGCGCTGCACCTTCAACCTCAAACACTGCTCAATTTACCGATCCGCAACTTGATCGTACCTGACAACGTTTGTTTACCATGGCTGGGCAGGGCCATCCCCTCGGCGTAACGCCGCCGATCTCCACCGCGTTGCCAACCGAAGCCGAGCATGCGACCAACAAGACAATGCTTGAAGAACTGAAGCAGCAAAAGACGTTTGAGTCCCCAGCAGAAACACAGAAGAGGTCTGTCAGCGTATGAAAGACAGTGGAAGGTTGCCAACTCCTCTGCTAATCCCCAGAGTAGACACCAGGTACTCGAGCAACTCCAAACCATCTGCGATGAATTCGTCAAACAAGTGGCGCGCAAGAGAGAAGAAGGCAGCGAAGCATTGATTAAAGATGCCCGAGGTAGGATTTTCACCTATGGTAGTTTTAGGCTTGGGGTCTACGGTCCTGGGTCCGATATCGATACTCTCGTTGTCGTTCCTAAGTACGTCACGCGCGACGACTACTTCGAAATCTTCCCGGGCCTTCTCCAGAAAATGACACCAGCCGACGCCATTACCGATTTGGCCGTGGTATCTGACGCATTCGTTCCCATCATCAAGTTCGAGTTCTTCGGCATCAGCATCGATCTGATTTTTTCGCGAATCGCCAGCCTGAAGCAGCTTCCCAAAGACCCGCAATGGAGTCTTGCAGACTCCAACCTGCTCAGGGGTCTCGACGAGCGAGAACTTCGGTCCCTGAATGGCACACGTGTCACCGACGAGATCATAAACCTGGTACCTGAGCCCAGCACCTTCCGGCTTGCTCTGCGAGCAATCAAGCTCTGGGCCCAACGCCGAGCCATATACGCCAACATTATGGGCTTCCCCGGCGGTGTCGCGTGGGCCATGCTCGTGGCTCGAGTCTGCCAGCTGTACCCGAAGGCCACCAGTTCCGTCATTGTTAACAAGTTCTTCCACATCATGAGGCGGTGGCCCTGGCCTCAACCTGTCCTCCTCAAGGCAGTCGAAGAGGGGCCTCTACAGGTCCGCGTTTGGAACCCAAAGGTTGGCGCTGCATCTCAAATATTGGTCTATTGAGTCCCAGGACGTGTCCGATTACTGATGGTCTGAATTTAGCTGTACCGTGGCGACCAATTCCACTTGATGCCCATCATCACACCCGCGTACCCGTCTATGTGTGCGACCTTTAACATTACCAAGTCGGCCATGACGGTTATACAGCGCGAGCTACAACGCGGTTGCGAAATTACAGATAACGTCATGCTTTCCAAACGGCCGTGGGGCGACCTCTTCATCAAACATACCTTCTTCACCTCAGGGTACAAGTATTACATTTCCGTTGTTACTACCAGCACTACCAAAGAGGCGCATAAAATATGGTCTGGCTATGTTGAGTCCAAGGTCCGCGTGCTTGTCCAAGGACTTGAGCAGCATCAATCTATTGCTATCGCTCACGCTTTCAACAAAGGCTACGATCGTCGTCACGTGTGCCACAACGAGACAGAGCTCAGCCAGGTTCAGGAAGGTAGTTTACAGTACCTTGCCGGGCAAGAGACTATAGAAACCCCCAACCCCGAAATCGCGGATGCAAAGACCGAAGGCGGTCTTGCGTTAGACGACTTACCAGTGGATGGAGCTACGGAGACGGGAATTGAAGCCAACGGAAATGGTGAAGGGGTCGAAGAAGAGGTGCAGATATGGCCGACAGACGTTTTCACTACCACTCACTACATCGGTCTCGAGCTGGGCGAAGGTAAGTAATGACATGCATAAGACTGACTCTTCGGGAACCCCGTCCATGTTTTTTCTCATTTTGCACCCAATTCAATGTTGGCAACACTGACCAGTCAGGCGCAAAATCACTTGATCTCTCCTATCAAGTCGACAGTTTTAAGCAACTATGCGGCCAGTGGGAGAAGTACAGCGCAAAGCTTAACCATTTGACGGTGCAACACGTTCGGAAGTAAGCTTGGATGGTGCGACTCTTTCGGCGGTCTTCGGCTGACAACATGCAGCTTCAATCTTCCCGACGATCTCTTCGAACCAGGCGAGAAGAAGCCGCAGAAGCAACAGAAGAGAGCAGCTGGCGCAAACGGCTCGGCGCAGACAAAGAAGCGCGGCGCCTCGGAGGTAAGATATCAGCGTACTGATGCAAGCTTTGGCTGTCGCTGGAGCGTTGCTGCTCTGTATTCAGATGGGAAGACTAATTCATTTATCACAGGAAGCGCAACCACCAGCGAAGCGCCAGCAATCTTCAATCACAGCAGCCGCTGGCTGATACCATACAGTTGAATGCCTGCAAGTACACACTGCCGAACAATACAGCTTTTGCCAATACTTTGGCAGTGTAGAGAAGATGTGGCTTCTCACGGAAGTTTGTGGCGCCAGGGTAGTGGCACAATCTGTGAGACTACAGATTCGACTGACAAGCTCCGGGCGAAGCGTCCGTTTCTTTTAGGGTGTACTCGATCCCATACTTCTCGAACCGCCATGTTCATATTCCATGGGCAAGGTGCTTCATGCGGCTACTTATGTCAGTCAAGCTGGGTTGTAGCAGATTCGCAACTCCTCAACTAGACCTCACCCAGACGGGGAAAAAGCGTAAGTTGTTTTCCAGCAATTCTCTGCTAGGCAGGAGGAGTTGCGAAGAATGTTATGCCTCCGGCCAGGGGAAGTGTCCACGCGCCGCTGGCGTGTTTTCAGGCGATGGCAAACAACAGAAGATAAGCGTCAGGAGGAATCCAGTGGGCAACTTTCGTTCATTGTAGTTGTTTGACTTGTTGTAACTGGCGCGTATAACGGGCATTGCGTGCCTAGTTTGTAATCTGACGACGGCTGCACTCTATTTGCAAACCTCTGATGTATTCATAATCCTCTCAAGGGCTAGCTAGTTGAGAATTGAATTGACTTGAAGACATAATGACACATCACTGGTGGTTGAGTTTGAGGTTTGAGCTGGGGTGTCCATTCAAATATCGTCGCCATCGTCACTGCCACTGGACCACCCATCCCGATACGCCTCAGCTAGCTCCGCAAGATCGTTGCTAATGTTCTCTCGGTCTTCGATGCCGAGCAAAGGGGTGGTCAGCGTGCGCAATCCTTTCACAGCCTCTGACACTGCACTATCCGTCGACAGACACGTTTCGACACCGACGAATTCGTTTGGCTCTTTTTCTTGGGCGGTGTAGATCTTCGGGAAACTATCGAGTATGGGGAATGCAATATCAAAGGAATGGCTGTGTATCTGGTCGTCAGATGGAAAAAAGAACAGTGAGGCAATAAGAATAGTACTGACACATGCTCGGTAGCCCGGCCTCGTGCTGAGCTGGTTGCGACTGCGGCCTCGCCCTGTTGCCCTCGAACTAGGGAGTACCATCCACGACAAGTCCGTTCCCTACCAAAGACATGAGGCTGGCTGTGGTCTGGACTGAGCCTAGGCTTCGTTTTGGCCAAGTCAAGGAGATCTATATCCAGGGGCAGGTCTTCATCGCTCGCCATTTGCTTCCCTGTCCTGGAGTCGTGTGGTTCGAGCGGCGTAGTTGTGCTAGCAGAGGCAGACATCTGGAGTCGAGCCAAGGTTTGCTTTCCGCTCTGGTTCAAGCGTTCGGTCAAGTGGCCGAGGGTGTAGCGAGACGAACCAAATTTGGCCCGGGACGATAGACCGGCTGTCTCGATTGCGGTGGCCATCAAGGCGCTCGTTTGCCATGGAGAGTCGGAGTTGAGGCGGACGTTGGAAGGCAATCCGGCGCGGGGTATCCTCATGGGTATGACGAGGGAGGCATGCTCACAGAGGGCCGCCGTTGAACGGGCAACGTTTGTCAGGTGAAGGCGACTTTGTTGGGAAGCGTGGAGGCCCCAGACAAGTATGGTTGCTTTGGGGTACTCATCACGCATGCGATCTAGGTACTCGGCAGCAAAGCCTCCCCAGGCATCGTCAAGAGAGGTAAAGACCTGGATGGCTTGCATCTGGTCTGCCTCCTCCACGAAAGGACGGAAATCGCGGTCGGCGATGTCATGCTCCTTGTCGAGAGATTGGAAGAGCTCCTGGCCTAGGGGCCACTTGTCGAAAGGCCTGATTGATGAGTTGAGCTCATAATCGTAAAGCTGGTTAAGCGACTTGGGATGGTAAAATGTACGGCTAAAATCTGACCAGTAGCGTACATGACTTTCGTCGAGCTCGGGAGGCACAAGCCCAGCATCCAAGCTCTGTTGGTAGGCCGTGGGAGCAACGGGTAGTAGTTTGTGGGTTACAGATGCGCCGTCCCAGGAGAGCGCGGCAGAAGGGTCGTCGCCGGGGTCATAAAGGGCATTTATTTTGCGGAGTGAGCCGAAGCCGCCCTTGAGATCATACACAACGGTGCGCGGCAGGAAGGTTTCGGCGCCATCAGCGCCTCGCCCAGGCCGCCAGTGTATGTTGTGGTCGACGGACGGCTCCTCGTCATCGTCTGCATATGAAAAGTACGACTCCTGTAAACGGGGAGACAGGGTTGAATTAGCACCTTACGCCAGACAGGGCGAGAGACCGTGATAACGGTGTACAGAATGAGGCTGCGAGGCTGTCTGACCTGAGTGTTCCAGAAGTGAGTAGCCACGTAATTACTGGCTTGGCCCAGCTGTAGAGTGATAATTTCGTGCATTTCGGTTTTTCCCTACCTGATCACCGAGGCCTTGTGTTGAGCTGAACCATGAGGTCCAGTTGTGCTGACGGCGCAGATTCCGGTAGCGTGGTGACTGGGTAGGTAGGCACGTAGGTCCCTAGGCAGGCGCCTTAGGCTTGTTCAGGTACCTAGCTGATGTTACAGTTGGGTCTGCAAGGGGGCTTGTAACTGGACCCCGGATTTCGATTAGGGCTTTGTTGTGCGACCGGAAAGTGCTACACATATGCCAAAAGCTCTCGTGTCGAATGACAGTGGTGAGAATCGATAGTCCATGGCATTCTGTGGCATGGCCTCGGAACGAATTGCCAAATGCTCAGTATGCTTACGTTGAGCCCGTGAGCATCTCTTGATCGAGTCGGCAGAAGAGCGAGGTGCGTGTCGTCATGACCAATGCCACGCTAACTCATCTGGTCACCAACTACCCAGCCAGGTACTTAAGTTTTTTTTCTTCTTTGGCCTGTTCCTTTTGACCCCCTCCATCGTATCCACTCTTGAGGTATGGCACCTCTCTATGACTACCTAGGTGTGTAGAGGTACATGCATGCACTGAGACACCCCTGCACTGAACCGGCTCCTTGACCCTCGATCCTTTGGTGCACGAGGCGCAACACTCAAGTGACGCGCTCCATTACGGTCTTTCGTGTTTCGCGATTCCCTTGCCAGCCTGCAGCTTTCTGCCACGAGACACTCTGTTCACCCACCCTCCCTCCCTATATCGCGTCATCTCTGCACAGATATCAACACAACCACATTCTGCGAAGCCGTCGAACTTTTTTCGGCATCCTCTTCCCCATCACTGCCGTCAGACTTGAGGTCTTCCCAATCGCACCATATCCTGCCGAACGGAGAGGTGTCGCGCAAGCGCGTACTCAAGTCCTGCCACCCAACTGCTCGCAAACTACCACCGGCACTAAACCCAGCCTGTTGCATCGCCTTCAGCTGTCACGTTGGCCGCTGGCTGCTGCCACCAGATACGAAGCATGCCTCCATCTGCGAAACGCATACAGCGATCGCGGCGTAATACACACCAGGCCCAATCCCCTCCAGAAAGGCCCGAAGAACCTTCGCCAACCCGCCCTTCAAAGCGTCGCAAGAAGGTAAAATCACGCCCTCCTTCACACGCTCGTCGTGCCTCATGCCAAGTGTCTATGATGTGGCACGCCGCTGACTTGACTTGCTCACCATAGGCTCCAGAACCGCCCCCCTCCGAACCCGCCGAGGACGACGAGTCGACTCTCACTGCCGACCCCTCTGGTCCTAGCAACTCGGACGATCAACTCCTTTCGCAGGTTGTTCAGCATCTAGCTTATCCCAAAGAAGGCCCCATACAAGCCAGTAAAGATCATGCCAATGTCATCCACGAGGCCAACCAAGACGGCGTCAAGGCTTATGCCAAGATCGCCGCCCAGGATTGGACCTTCTATGTCACCAAGCTCAACGTCAATATTGGCCGAGCCGCCGATCCCGCCGCCTCGGGCACTCAGCAACAGGAGGACCCTGAGTCCGACGACTTTGTGCATATAGACCTCGGTCCCAGCAAGCTCGTCTCTCGACGCCATGCACGTATCTTCTTCAACTCGGAAGACGAGTCCTGGTTCCTCGAGGTTATCGGCCGTAACGGTGTCAAAGCCAATAATAGTCCTTTAAAACAAGGTACTTCCCGTCCGCTCCAGAGCGGCGAGGTGCTCGATGTTGGCGGCACGGAGATGATGTTTGTCTTGCCTACAGAAATCAGCACCCTTCACATCCACCCGATTTACCTCAAGAGACTCGGTATACCCAAGCAAGACGTGACGAGTCCCATTCCACCACCTTCAGCTGCAGGCCCCTCAGACGAACCGCCTTCGTCACAACCAGCCTCTTCTGGAAGATCTCAGCCATTTCGTCAACCTATCGCGCCTGCGCCTCCCGACTACAAGCGTCCCGGCACACCACCGTCCGCTCGAAGCAAGGTTCTGTCCGCGCAGCACAAGTCGCCTGGCTACTCCAGCTCAGGTACTCTATTGCTAAGTGCCAACGATGTGGACCTCAGCCAGGATGACAACAGGCACATCAAACCGCAGTTCAGCTATGCCCAAATGATAACGCAAGCTATCATCAACACACCAGATGGAAAGCTCAATCTGAACGGGATCTACAATTTCATTACTGCAAATTACGCCTACTACAGGCACCAGCCCGCAGCTGGCTGGCAGGTACGTCACGGTCATTGCAGTAGTTCATGTCGATAATCTATGCCGCAAACTGACTATCTTGCAGAATTCCATTCGTCATAACCTTTCTCTCAACAAATCGTTCGACAAGATAGCACGATCCACAGACGAGCCGGGCAAGGGCATGAAGTGGCAGATCGTTCCAGAAGCCCGCGAAGAGATGACTCGCACAGCGTATAGAGGGGGCAGAGGGGGCCATCGTGGCTCTTCGGCACCCTCCTCGCCCAGTCAGCTCAACTACATTACACATGGTCCTGGGGATGTGGTCACAGGTTCGGCCAGGAAGAGGAAACTCCGGTCCATCGGATCTCCGCCGCCAAGCTCATCGCTGCATGCGGTACAATCCACACCTGATCGTGCCTCTCGCCACCTTCCACCAATGTCAACGGCGTTGACCGTCGATGGAAGCCCACTGCCGCGACCACGTAGGAGTGCAGCGGCGCCAGCCTCGTCGAGCTATACGAGCGTCCAAGACCAGTCCCCGACTCTAACATCATCATACCTGCCAGAGGACGGAACTTCATTCGTGACGCCCGCGCCTCACCGCGTGCATCCAAGACTGGCTCCTCCCAGCACTGCGCAGCGGCCGAGCCAACACATGCCAACTAGTTCGCCTGCTCCATTCTGGAGGTACGCTGATATTGGCAGCACACCACTCAAACCCATTGGTCATCTTGACTTGAGTCCTACGAAAATGGCTGGCCGGCTCCCTCCACAGAGCAGCAGCCCACCGCCCCGCTCTGCACGTTCACCAGTTACGAGCCCAACGCGGGGCCATGACACGAGAGAACAGACAGAGGAGGCCGCTGCAGAACCACCTGAGGTTGAAGAGGAGGAAGGCTTTGATCTGGCTAAGTAAGTTCCGCAAGCGTCTTCTGTCACCCAATCTTGTTGACCAATGTTCCCAGGGGTTTCCAAAGCATAGGATCATACCACGCTCCAGTCAGTCGTGGTCTTGCTATAGCGAGCGCTCTCGGTGGAAACAAGCCTTGATTTTGTGCTTCGCTGCGGAGAGTTAAGCCATAGGTCCAGGTTCCATGTTCCACAAGCTCCTTGATGTTCGCCCCTGCCGGGCAGTCAGTGGTTTCTCGTGTGGCCTTGAATGCTAAACACCTTGCTGTCTGTAGTCAAAAATTAAGGATCATGCGTATTTGGAGTGAAGATGAATTTTGATTACACAGATTGAGTATTGTGTTGAGCCGCCTTCGTTGGCCCACATGCTCTGATTGACGGTCCACTCGCCCAGCCCCTTCACCATGCAAACCACATGAGCCAAAGCGGCATCATCAGATGCCTTGACCTTTTGAACCTTTCTTTTTTGATATGTCTGTTATACAACAAGATTCTCCACGCTATGAAAAGCCCTCCCGTTGACTACGCTGCCGCAGAGTGGTTGCTGGAAAATTCCGGGAGAATTCCAATTCGGCTCGTCGTTTAAGCCTTGCCTCGCCTCTTGGGGTTACCCCTGCTTGGCCGCTTCGAAGACTTGTTGGTTTGCTGGTCGTTGCCCTCAATGAACTTGATGAGCTCATCGATGCTACGCGAGTCCATTTGAGAGGAGCCATCGAGCTGAGTCTGGCGAGAGGTCGAGGCGACAGAAGACGGTGCGTCAGCTTCGAAAGGGGCGCCTCGAGGTGAGAATTTGATGCCTGTGCGCAGGCGGCGAGTCTGCATGTCTTTGGCGTGCTTTGCGATGGAGACGGCATTCTGGGTGAGTTGCTCCAGCCAGCTCTCTGCCTCCTTGGTGTTTTTGTCGTCAGCGCCCAATTCGCTCAAGAAGATGTTGTAGGATTCTCGCATGCGCTTGACTGCGCCCTTGGAGTCTTGGTCGAGGGCCAGTGCTTGAGCAAGCTGGAACAGCAGTGTCGCAGCGTTGATCGACGACTTTCCGAAGACCTTCTCGCAGACTCGTAGCGATTCCTCAAACCATAATCTAGACTCATGGTAGGCCTTCAGGTGCTGGAGCATGACGGCACCATTGTTGATAGTCGTAATCGAGTCAGGATGGTCAGGGCCATAAATTATCTTCCAAAGCTGAAGGGCGTGCTTGGCATACGACAAAGCGCCTTGGCTATCGCCCGTCTGGTGGAGGAACAAGCTCAGGTTAAGGTAGTTGAGCAGAGTCTCGGCTGAGTCGACACCAACGGTCCGCTCAGAAACAACGATAGCCTTGCGGGAGAGCTCTACGGCTGCCTCCTTCTCATCCAGCTGGTAGTAAAGCATGGACAGTGTGTTGTACACACGAGCAACTTCTGGGTGAAGAATGCCATAAATCTGCTCGTGCAGGGAGAGAGACTCTAGCAGAAGCTCTTGGCCAAGTTTCTTCTGCGACTGCATGATAGAGATGCGGCCTGCCTCCAGCGCCTCCTCGGCAAGAGCGCTGCGAGGGCAGGAGTGCTTGACGACAGGGACAATGTTGATGACATCATCGGCACTGAACGTGCATGGTGCTCCAGTGGTAGCGACTGCAGCAGGCGAGGCGTCTCGGTTCTTCTTTTTGTTCTTCTTCTTTGACTCGCCATTAAGCTGACCATTGGCGGTCGCTTCAGCGGGCTTGGCTTCAGTAGGAGCTTCGGTACTGTCCGTCTTGGAGAATAAGTACTCCTTGGCTTGCAACTGGAGGCCAAGCTTGAGAGAAATTTCTCTGAGGGTCTGAAGAGGCTTAATGCTCTTGTACCACTCGCCATCCAGCTTGAACCTGTATCGTCGGTGTGTTTCTTCAGAAATACGAGTCCTTAAGGTCTGCGGAGTGACAGATTCATACGAGGTATCGAGATCCGAGTAGAGCGCCTTCATGGTGGGATCCACGTCGGCAACAGGCTTCGGATTCAACTCCGCGCCGAGAAGGCAGTTCAGAAGATGGGCAACGCAAGACGAGGCCAACGGGCTGGGAGTCTCCCGCAAGAAGGAAGAAATGACGTGCTTGAACGAACGGGCGACCATATCCTGGATCGCGATATCCCTTAGGCACTGGAGTCGCGCGTCCGTACTCAGGGAGGCAATCCTACCCAGGTATCTCACGTTGATACCCCTCTTGTGCAGCAAACGACTAAGTGCTTGGCCATCCATAGGGAAGCTGATATCGCAATCCTGAAGCTCGCGCACCAAGTCGGGAATGACTCGATCGGTCAAATACTCGCAGGCGACACGAACATCTTTCTCGTCAGCCTCAAGTTCCGCTTTCTCGTCAGGAGTTTGAGGCAACTGGCCGCTGAAGGCGTCGGGGTTAAGAGCGAATTGGAACTGAGAGAGATCGATGCGGTCCTTCTCCTTCTCGGAAGTTGCTTGAGCTTCGGTCGATTCGCCTATGCTGTCGGCAGCCGAGGCCTGCTTTGTCGTGTCGTCCGCGGAGTCCTGCTTCGACTGAGCGCGCTGCGCGAGCTGTTCGTCAACCCACTCCTTCATCTTCTTCCGGCCGAAGGATTCCACAAGCTCGGGACGCAGCACGGTCATGCGGTGAGGGTATTCAGGGAACTCGCCCTCTTCAGCCGAAGCCTCCAGCCAGGCGACGTCCAGGGGTGTGACTCTGTAAAGATCGAGCACGTACTTGCGTCCATCAGTTCCCATCAAGCCCTTAGTCTCAACACTGGCCTCCAGGTCGATGCGTTTGCTCTCCTTGTCCCAAACTGGATGCTTCTTAACCCTCAACGCACGGGACAGTTTCTCGAAGACCGAGACGAATCGATCATCCGCAGCTACAATATCCTTGCCTTCCACAGCGCCGTAATCGATTTGATTCTCACCAGGCTCACGGGGTTTAAAAATGCCGGGAACAATGCTCTGGCCAACGATGCGCTTTCCGAGGTAGTCGACGACAACTGTTGCAGTAGTAAACAGGCCGTCAACGTCCAGCTGGTTCACTAGCCTGACGCCTGCGACGTCCTTGCCAGTGGCAACCCGCGCAGCTTCATCTCCGCCCTCTGAAGTGAACGTGCCCACACCGTCGGCTCCGAAAGAGAAGAAGACGTTGTTGTAAACAAAAATTTGGGCATCCTTGCATTCTGTAGGGTTAAGAGGTGGGATCTCGCCACGAGCTACCAGGACCGCACCGCGGGTGGCAGCGTCGTTGTAATCCGCGAAGAGCTTGGAAAGAAGTCTTTCGCGGAAAACTCGATCTTGGACAGTCTCTTTCGGCAATTCTTTCGCCGACTGGAACTCCTCGTTCCAGTCCCGCAGCGTGTCAGTGTTGTCCACGCCCGCAATAAGGTACGTCTCCTGGGAGCGAGTAGGGTCGGAGAGGTGTGTGCAGTGGGGCGACGTGGTGGAGGGCACAATCCAGGGTGCTGCGGGGATGGCGTTGGCAATCTGGAACGTGGCGAGAGGGTCTTTGCGGTTGTTGAACTCCTGCAGAGCCTTGAAGCTCGACTCAAAGGACGGTGATATGAGCTCGAGTAGGCTCAGCAGCGAGTGGGCAGACTGTCCTTTAGGAGCCGGCCGCGGTAGCGGATCGAACTTGCTGTTGGAAGACTTGTTGACGTAAAAACCGCCAACGTGTGCGGTGACCTGGAATTGTTCACCTTCGTTGGTCGTGATGATCAAGTAGAGTAGGTGCCCCCTTTGTTTCAGATGGCACGGAGGCGGGTTCCAGGACGAGAGCGTGATGGTCTTGATGGTCTTGGGAGCATCTTCTGGTGGGGGCGGTATGAGGTGAGAAATCGAAGCTGGAGAGCTAAAAGTGGACTCTCCCACTGGCTCAGGCTGCTCAGCAGGCGGCTGATCTTCGTTCCGCTCGGAGCCATGCTTCGTAGTAACATCGATAGAATCCAGGAGCGAGAGGCCGGGCAGGATACCCTGGACTACATCGGCACGGTCGCCCGCACCACCGATGAGCTCACGGATCCTAACAAGATGTATGCGGGCCTCCTTTTCGGTGTAGGGATCCTCAACCAGCGTCACATTGGGGTTTTCGGCAATGCCGGGGACTTCTGAGATGGGGATGAAGTCATTGACGCGCTCGCCGTTGTGCTCGAGGTGGAAGCAAGTGTACCGGAAGGCCGCAGGCAAGTCGATGATGGATTGACGAACTTCGTGAACTTGCTCCTGGGGCGAGACCTGCCAGTGCTCGTATTAGATAAGGTACTACAGGGTAATCGGAAGCAGTCGTCAAGCAGTAGAGCATACCAGGATCGTCATGGAGTGGGGCGCTTGCGGTAGGCCAATCGTGAGGTTGATGAGGGCTGGTCGTCATGTCAGTTTACTATTACGTCTCAGTGAGTAGACTTTGCCGTACCCTCAGCGGCGTGCTCTTCCTGATCAACCTCGTTTTCGGCAATCGCGGCATCCTGCCCAGCGCTGTCTTGAGGTGTGACGTCTTCGGCAGCGGGGACTGGATTGAGTCAATGAATAGGGACACAGAAATTTGGGAAGACTGTCTGCTCACCCGACCCAGTAGGAACCTCGTTTTTCTCGGAAGACATGGCGACAATGGTTTTTTGTAGCAACTGCTACAAATCCAGGAGGTGGGAAGATCCGGAGCTACTGGTGCAGTGTCGTTGTGACCAAGCGTAAAGCAAGGCAGTAGAGTGTTGGGGAGAATGATGAGTTCGATGTTGTACAGGCGGTAGGCAAATCGAAAACTCCGGAGAAGGGATTAGTGCAGACGAATCGAATACTAAGAAACACTGTCACAAGCTTATAGGCTTCCCTGTGACAGACAAAGGGAATGTACAAGCGTGGAGATGTGGAAAGGGGTTGTGGATGTTGGACGAAACTCGGGAAACACTGAACGGGCAAAAAAAATCATCGTCAGTCGCTGAAGTACCAGGTAGCTTAGCCCGGGCCGCCTATTGGGTCCCTTCTCTCTGGGGCGTCAGGAACCCGGGACGGGGGAAAAAGGGAAAGCGTCCACGGGTCGAAGCCGTCGCATGAGCTCCATTAGCCAACCATGTGTCCCAGAAAGCGGCAATCTGTGGGCCTCTGAGCTCCACGGCAATGTGCCGGCACAAGCTCGGTTCATCGCCTTCAATGCAGTGTGACCTCAGCATGCTTGGTGACGCTAGTACGAATTTGGCAATTGAGTAAACAAGGGACATGACCAAACACTACCTCGTTCATCGGTCGTTGATCCTAAGCTTCACATATACCGATAGACGACCCGTCCTTTCACAAAAGACTCTTTGCTCCAAGTAACCTTACATTTCCCCTCTCGAGTCCTTAGCTTCGAGACGCATCTGGAGTTGCGCTTTCTTTTTCTTTGTCTTCTGGCATCAAAGTAAACATTCGCAACCTGTAGCATCATTTCTATGGTGACGGCCTCAAGCCCGCTCTCATATCAAATCGGTTCACGCCAGAATGTCGCCTTCTACGACTACGAGGTCATCAAAAGCAACACCAGCGACACGATCACCGCGAATTGACAAGTCACGATTGTCATGGACTGCAACGAGGTGTCATCGATTGCTGCGGCCCCTTCAGAATCGCATAGCTGCTCTACGGAAGGAGATATATGTTCAAGAGCGCACGTTCCCTCCCATACACCCTGAGAACCTCAACGGCTCTGCCAAGTTATCGCAGAAGCGGAAGATATCAGAAGGAGAACAGCTGCACGAAACGAAAAGACCATGCCGTACCTATTCCAAAAGGCAGGCTACCGGAGCTGATTACGCCGTTGGCACGACACGCTGGGGTCATGAGGACCAGCCGCGAACTCTCGGTGGTCCCATGCCGCAGACTCCCATCTTCCGCCGGACCAAGCTGGTCAAAGCCGAGAAGGATGTGTCTACCCAGGCAAGTAAGGACGGCCAGGGCACCCGCAACAGGAGCAGCCGATCCATGTCCTACTCGGGCAATCCGACGCAATCTGGACCGCTTATTGTGTCGATCGGCTGCTTGAGAAAAGCACAGTCGCCCGTGGCTCAGCATCGCTACGTGCATTACGAGAGCATGTTACGAATCTTGGACACCCTCCTCCGTGCGACAGCGACGCCTGACTCTGTTTCCAACACGAAGTCTCTTCTGCACATGTGTTTGCGTAAGATTCCAGAGTATGCCGCCGGCGTTGAGGCCTGGGAAGCCAACAACGCATCAAGAACAGGAGCGTCCTCGCTATTCACTCCTTCAAGTGCAACGACTCGTTTATACACCGACCTCGAGCAGATGAGCGGCTCCGATGCTGGGTGGAAATACTTTGCCTCTCTGGTTCGCGCACACGCACTTTGGGTGATCCGAGAGGCAATCACGGAGGGACTGATCGAGCCTGTCTTTGCAGGCATCATCGCACATCACTACAATCAGTTCGGCTACACGGATGACGCTTCTACGATATTGGAGACGACGGCTGAGAGAACCTACCCGGCCCCACGATCACTTCGAAGTCAGTTGAAAGAAGACAGTCGTCTCTCCTCGTTATCTCTGGTAGTCGAAGCAATTGAACAGCCAGCGATGGCGTCGAGACTCTCACGCAGCACATCGTCGCTCCTGTCTTCTAGGCAACTTCCTGCCGAATGGCTCTCGACTAAGGCTCTATCAAACCTATGGAAAGCAGCATCGTGGGCTGTGTCGGAGCCAAGAACCAGCATCTACGCCCTGCAGCACGCGTCAGCTGCAGTCGCATCTCTAGCCTGCCTTACACGATCGCCGCCACGATCGCAATGCACGACAATGCCCGATATTCTCTCGACTCTTGCCAGTGTGGTAGGCGGTCTTGTTGCCATGTCTGTGGCGGCGCAGGGGCACACATCCTTGGCAGAAGCAGCAGACGGAAAGACGAGCCACGTCCAGAATTATGCACTCCACCGCGTCGTCTACATTTTGCATGAAGCGTTGGCCAGGAGTACAAGGCGGAAGGGCAATGACGATGCGCTGTATATGCTCGAACTTGCCATATTTGTCGTCTCAGCAGCAGGTTTCGACACTGTCCACACAGCCAATGACGGATACATGCTAGAAGTGAGAAAGCACTGGCCTCGAGGAGGGAAGGGTTTTCCCAAAACACTCACCGTCGGCCGGTATAATGTGACAGCAGGGCTGGCATGCTCGATTGCGCGCGCATCAGCAAGGACGACATCAGTGGCGCCGCATCATTTCTTCTCACAGCTCTGCGACCGGTTCGAAGAGGCCGGGTTGCCTGGGTTAGAGAGCCTCAGACAGGACGGGGCCTTCTTGCTGGCGCATAAGACGCATGACCTGCGCGACCTTGCATTTGCTGAATGCATGAGCACTGTTGTATCAGGCCCAAACCACCCTGCGATGGAACAGAATTGCGTCAACAAGGCCACATTTGGGGGATACAGGTGGGAGGAAGGTATTAGTGAATGGGTTGTGGCAAGTCCCAAGCGGCCTTGCAGTCGCTACCCTATGGCGGGTGCCATGGGGCCGGCGGGGAGACGAAGGTGGGGAGAAGTCGGTGGCACTGTGCAAGAAGTCCTTGCACCGACAAAACAGCAGATTTGGACCCCAGATGCCGTTGTGACGAAGAAGCAAAGGGCCGCGGTAGCGGCGAGGCCAAAGTCCAAGCGACAGGCACTGGGAGACATCAGCGGTCGACAGCCACAAGCACAGGCGCGGCTGAGTGACGATGAGCTGGGATTCTGAGGGACTCGCGTATCTAGCACGTAGTAGATCTTGCAGAATACAGACCAAGGCATCACTTGATGCTAGTCTGTTGCCGCACCACGTTGGCCGGCCGTGCGCCACGAACGGAACGACGAATGGCATGAGCGAAGGTTACCACTATCAGCGTGCCATGCACACACCATGTACTTGTACTCGATGTTGTTCTTTAAAAGGGGCCAAGGTCAGGACCTGGGGCTGGCCATTCCAACTTTCTGCTGTCAGCGAGCGTCAGGCCTCCAGGGAACTAACTAATGTACCTGGTTTCAGAACAAGTGGGCGGATATGATGAGGAGGGGGTGGGCCATGTGTGCCTCGGGCTGCCATGACAGCCTATCAACATCAGAAAAGCCATTGTGTGTCGGAGGCAAAAGAATTAGATCAGTCGCAAGGTGCGACACGAACAAGAAAGATGAGAGCAGCGTGCCTGCGTGCGCTATTGTATGAGGGAAAGAGGCGTTCACTCAATCAAAATGCAGGCTTGGCAATGCTGCGAAACAAGACTGTGCGACGAGGCGAAGATTGGGCACCTTGCAGCCCATGCTGGGCCAAGGCAGTCATGCTTTCCAATGATGACCTCACAAATCTGCCAACCTAAGACTACCTACCTACATTGTCGAGACTGTTAGACTTCAAGTGCCTACCTTCGCAGCAAGCACGTAGGTGAGCTCTGCAGGGCCATCGATTGCTCACTCACATCAGGCATGCATTATCAGGCTGGCGTAGATGGCAGACAGCAGAGGGTCAGTGCAAGAATCGAGCGTGTCATGAGCATCATCTTGGCAGTATGGAGTTACGAGGAACCAGGTGCAAGGATAGCAGAGGCGTGCCGATCATTGCTCTCCTTCGGGCTGAGCCTACCTCCTGGACCAGCGTACCTTGCATCGCGTCGAGTGTCCGGCTGTTTCATCGGCGCATTGGTGGCCGGGAACCCCTGTTGCCTCCCTGCCTCCGTACAGATCCACCCCACTCTACCCACCCGGCGGCTCGAGATGGCATATATTAAGAGCATGATTGGTCATTGTGACGAGGTCTGAGGGGAATGCCGACGCGCTAACAGAGAGATCGAGCATGCCTATGCCTGGAATTCCCCGCCATTCTCCCAACTCAGTTTTCGCGCCCGTCGCCCCTGACAGATGTTTGCTTGACACGTCCCGCTGACAGACGAGACCAGATGGAAGTCAAGCGACGGCGCACTGCCTGGCAGCGATCCCAGGTGGCTTCATCTACCCTGAGCTTCTGCCGTCCTCGGTACCTCCGACACGGCCAGGGGGCTTGGACTGCTCGCTTCGAATATATTAATATTTCCTTGTTCGCTGTGTATACGTGGTGAAGTGGCACCCGTCCACCCCCTCGCGCCGCCCCGATCCTCGGAAATCATCTCCAGAACGAAGGCTGGGCCGTGTGGTTCATCTCTCAACCTGCTCCTTGAGCACTACCATGTACTTTCATCACCAGATGTACAGTACCTACCTACCTAGTTCCTTGCCCTGCCGGACCTCATCAGACGCGCCGCCTATCACTCCCCACTTGATGTTGAGCCCATTAAAATGCTGGCCCCATTTCCCGACCTCTGGCCTCAAGTGCCTATTTAGGTACATGTACCTAGGTAGGCAAGGTACCTAGGTAAGCTACCCATCCTAGGTACCTACCTAAGGTAAGTACAGTACATCCCCTCGACCTCATTTTCACTGGTGTCTGCTCGACCTTCTTTCCCCCATCTGCCTTCCTTTTGTACTTATTCGTCAACTGGCTGGCCGTCATCCACATTCCTTTCCCTCCTTCAATCCCTCGGTGAGTCTCCAGCTCTTGGGACAGGCCTCCCGCAAGCCTAACGACACTCACCTCCCATCGACTTCACTTCACTCCAGTTCTCTTTTTCGGGTTAATTTGCCCCTGCTCTATCTGGTTTTGCTCTGCTCGACCGCCGCTCGCTATACCTTCTATCGAATCGACTTGCTGGTCATGCTCGCACTGCTTCATTTCTTCCAGTCTTGATCCTACACACTCAACAATATCCACAACTCATAGACAAATCGACATTCCGATACGGGCCTGGTTCTTCATCAAAGTCGCAAGAATCTACAAGCGGACCCAAGAACCATGGCAGGACCAGGCAAAGACTCGCCCGAGGCGATCGCCGCCAAGGCCGCCGCATCTGCCCTCAATGCATCCCTCAGCAACTACCTCTACTACGTTATGACTGGTTGCTCCATTGTCCTCATCGCTTGGAGACTCTCAACTCACCTACATCGTTATATTCGAACTGTTGCGTGCCTCAAGAATGATTCGCAGCGCTACTTCGCCGAGGCATCAACCAAGCTCTCGTTCTTCAAGAAGAACGTCATGTACGCCCCCATATTCAGCAAGCGCCACAACCGTGAATTTCAGCTGAGCAGCGCCGTCAACGTTGGCACCCTGCCCACCCGCCTGCAGCTGGTCTTCTTGTTTGGCTACTTTGCTTCCAACGTAGCCTTCTCCGTTATCGACATCCCCTTTGCAGCCACTTACGATGATGCCGCCAGAGCCTTTAGAAACCGAACTGGTGTCCTTGCTGTCGTCAACATGATCCCCTTGTTCCTCATGGCCGCCAGGAACAATCCTCTTATCAACCTTTTGGGCATCTCATTCGACACGTTCAATCTTCTCCACCGTTGGTTTGGTCGCATTGTCATCCTCGAGGCTGTTGCCCACACCATGGCGTTCATGTCCGCTCAAGCCCACTCGAAAAGCTGGGAGGCTGGGTTCCAGACCGTTCTCGCCGTGCCGTCCTTCTTCTGGGGCTTCCTAGTAAGTCACTCTAATCGCCACATGGCCCCCCTCGGGCCATGAGTAACGGGAGCTTTAGACCCTTCAAAAGAAATACATGCTAACGGCGTGCAGGGTACGTGTGGTTTCGCCGCAATCTTCATCCAGGCCTGGAGTCCTATTCGACACGCCTTTTACGAAATATTCAAGCTTCTGCACATTGCCCTCGCCATTCTCGCTGTCATGGGAACGTGGTATCATCTCCACCTCAAGGATCTCCCGCAGCTTCGTTACTTGATTGCCGCCATTGTCATCTGGGCCGTGGACCGTCTTTGGCGTGTTTTCAGGGTCATATACGGCAACTTCGGCCGAGGTGGCAGCCAAGCACTTGTCGAGGCACTTCCAGGCAATGCTGTGCGTGTAACCGTCAACATGGCCCGACCGTGGACCTTCAGGCCTGGGCAACACGCATACATGTATATGCCGTCACTCAGTTACCTGCAATCACACCCATTCTCTGTGGCCTGGAGCGAAGACGCCGAGGATCCCAGCTCTGAGAAGCTTGCCATGAACCGGCAGGACATTCTGGAGATGCGCAAAACCACCATGTCCTTTGTCATCCGAGGAAGAACAGGGTTCACCAACACGCTCTTCCAAAAGGCATCGGCGTGCCCACGTGGCCAGATGCACACAACCTGCATGGTTGAAGGACCGTACGGCGAGTTGCACAGCATGAAGTCTTATGGCACGGTCATGTTGTTTGCTGGCGGTGTGGGAATCACGCAAGCAGTGCCTCACGTGCGAGATCTTGTCATCGGCTACGCCAATGGAACTGTGGCCACGAGGCGTATTACATTGGTCTGGGTCATCCAGAGCCCTGAACATCTTGAATGGATCCGGCCGTGGATGACACAAATCTTGGCCATGGACAAACGCCGGGATGTACTCCGCATCATGCTTTTCGTGAGCAGGCCCCGCTCGAGCAAGGAAATACACAGCCCCTCTGCCACGGTCCAGATGTTTCCTGGCAGACCCAACATTGACACTCTGTTGGCTGCTGAGATGGAGCAACAGGTCGGCGCCATGGGGGTCACCGTTTGTGGACCTGGTGTTCTCAGTGATGACGTGCGACGCGCTGTGCGCGCTCGCCAGTATGATGGCGAGATTGACTTTGTGGAGGAAGCTTTCTCTTGGTAACGCCAACAGGAGCCACTTTTTATTGTCTTGCTTCAGGGGGCAATACAGAATCTCATTCCGACCAATGTAGAGACGACACGGGCGGGTTACTTTGTACATATAGGGAACTTTTGTATCCAACCTAGGCCATGTCATGGCTATGCTTGTGCCTCTTCCAATAACGACATTTATCTGTCCCGTTTGTCCGTGTTTTCCACCATGTTCGGTTCGCCATAGGTTTGTGTACACATATTTGGCAGCAAGGCAGGCAATGTGTACACAGAGGTCGGTTCCCATTGTACCACAGCCTCCTTGAGATGGTTGCTTCGGTTCCTGTTGCCCTGATATTCCTGGCGCTGAGTACCTGCCCATTTGTCCGCCTGCCAGATGTGGGCATGTGGCACCCTGGCAACTGGGTACCTTAGGTAGCAAGTGGTCGATGTTAAATTGTTCGACGAAATGAGAGAGCCGCCCCATCAAGGCCGGCCCATGCCTCGCTGTCACGTAGTAAGTCTACTGTAGAGCCTTTTGGTGGGACATTTTTTCTGTCAAGTGCTTGGTAGGTAAGGCAGTTAGGTGCAGTAATCTGAGGATATACAACGGCATTGTGTTCGTGACCTCATCCCGCCTCAACGTTAGTGCTCAGTCAGCCGCGTTAGTGCGTCATATGGCAAACTGCAATACCTATCAATAAATGGGTCTCGGCCAGATCCCCACCAACGGGATGACACAACTTTTTGGCCTGAAGCTTGTCAGGGAGCACCTAGTAGTAAGGTAGGTAGGTACCTGCTAGGTGTCAGCTGCTCACTCGAGCCCCCGTGACAGCCGTCAGATCTGGACTGCAGTCATCATGCCCCGCAGTTCGCTATTGCCTCCTTGGTAAGGTAGGCAGCAAACATCCACCTGGACTGCCTACACCCCTTGTCTTGTTGTGTAGAATAAGGCTTTCTTGCTCTCAGACCCGACTTGTCATCAGAACAGATTACTTAGGTTTTGGCCTGGTCTTCCTCCTGCTCCTCTTCCGATCCCTTGGGCATGCACACATATTGAACTGGATC